AAACTATGCTGTAATAACTTCTAAACCGACAAATTCAAGACTTTTTCACACTCATTATACAAGTGATATGGTATGATAAAACTAGTTTTTGTCTTTCAAATCTCAGATCTCTTAGAAATTGGACTTTTTTCCAATGTTACATTATGGTTTTTTTTGCATGAGATTGGTTGGAAAACTGTGGAAAACTATTTCATTAAAGCAAAATGGCGTTATTTAAACATTTGGCTAGAGAAATTCATGAACAACCCCACATTCGGAAATGCGGCTTTTAATTAATAAATTTCCGTCAAATTTTATTATCGTTTTCGCTACTTGACTCGCGGATCACCAATTAAATTATCAACAAAAGAGGTCATATTTGAAAAATCTGATCTTAAATAATTTCTGCCGAACACAAAATTCACAATATAGTATAAAACATCCTTGTTACAATTTTCACAAACTCTTTTTGTATCTAAATTATTTATAATTTTATTCTAATTATAATTTTTAGTGAATAATCTGATTGTTATCATCAAGAATTATTATATATTGTTTTGTAAGCAATCAATTAGTAAAGGAGCTCTTTATTGTTGCATATTATATCGAATAGTTAGATATATTATGTAAATTTTCTTATAAAAAATAAATTTATCGGTAAATGTGCTTTTTAAATTTATCAAATCATCTCATTTACAATTAAATATTTTTATGTTTAAAGTATAAAGTGCAATATGAAAGAAAGTTCTATACTTTAAAAATCGTGGTAATTTTTTCCTTATTTAAACGATTTCAAAGAATTAGAGAATGGAAAATATTAATGAAATATATTATTAGAAATGAAAGATAGTGATGATTCAGAGAATTGTAATCTAATTTATTCGTAAAAGAAATAATCACCAATTGAATACAAAACACGCTTTCTTTTTTAGTGATGTTCTTTTACAAACTATTTTATTATGTTATACGAAGATTGAAACACTTTTGACCCGTGAATTTAAAAAATAATGATAAAATATATAATCCCATAAGGATTAAAACCAGAAAACACTGTAAAAATCAGTATGCATTATCAGCAAAGAGTCCATGGATGTGAAAAAATAATGGGACATACCATTTTTATAGGGAATAATTGACATTTTAAATCTAAGTTTTATTTTCGAAATCTCAGATTTTAATCTCGCTTT